AACTCTCAGGAAAACTCTCAGACACACTCAGAAAGAATCCCTCAGAACCCTCGTCAAGAAAACACTGCATGCAATAAATGACTCGCAAAAACATAAGTCCTCATTTCGGACATTTGCTTGCGCCGGGTCCGACTTCTGGTGCGCCTCCGCCTACACGTGGAAGACAATCAATCAAGCCAATATATTGGAATACTTCTGAGAGGCCTTGATCTTGATCTCTGTCTTCGAGAATGAGAACAGTTCTTAGAAGATTGCGGAGGCTCGTCCTCAGGAAAGAAGCACACATCATAAACGAACACATGGCAAAAACTTGAAGCTTCAGAAGTCCTCTGTCTCAGATGCCCGATCCTCTCACAAAAAAGTTGATTGAACATGAAACCAAAGCAAACCTCTCACAAAAAGTCACTCAAAGTTTGATGGAGCTCCTGTGACTTCAAATCATGATTCTTGGGCTCCGGATGTGCTTGAGGTGGAGCTGGTGGATCAGGAGGTGCACCATCTGCGTGACCATCTTCTGCAGGATCAGGAGGTGCACCGCTGGAGCGCGCCGTCTCTTCTTTTTTCTCTTCTGCGGGCGCCTCTTCTGTCTTGTTTTCTTTGCGCTCTTCAGGCTTCTCCGCAGATTTGTTTTTTTCCTTCTTTTCTTTCTTGTCTTTTTTCCTTTTCTTCGGAGCCTGAGCCTGCTCGGTCGTGTTGCCACCTGCTGCGTCCACCAAACCATATTCTCTTCTGGGCTGCGAAGATGCCCTCTCAAGTTTCAGCCGCTCTTGAAGTGGGCCAGGAGCTGCATATTCATGAGCGCCAGGTTGAAGAACTTCTTGTTCTGGAGGAGGAGGTGGTGGCGGAGCTTTGCATTGAGGAGCTCCTTCCGATGGCATAGACCCATCTCCATGAGGATCCAACTGGGCCTGCTGACATACAAACTTCGGCTTGGGCAGCTTGTTCACCTCAGCCCGCACGTCCATTTGCTGCAGTTGGGTCCTCACAGTTCCAGACCGGTCTATGGTGGGCCCTCTCTCTTTTCCAACATTGAATCCATGCATTTTTGCAAACTCATAGACCATCCAAGCCTGCCGAATGTCCCTGACTTTGATCAAGCAGTAGCCTCCATCGTTGAAGTTCTTGCTGCGCAGCTCATACGGATGTAGACAAGCGAAGGCCGTCCGCACCTCCTGCTCAGTGGTGATTGGAGAACTTCTTGCTCCTAGCCATATGACATACTTTTGCGTCTCTGGTTGCGGCGCCGCAGCCGTCTTGGATTTAGGCTCGGCCATTGGCGGGCAATACAGTGAAAAGTGATTAAATGTAACACTTCATAGTCCTTGAACCTTCATAGTCCTTCATTAAATGTAAGACAAAGTCGGTTCTACCATTGCCTTTCACATTATCCTTCACCACTGAACTATAAGCCTTTTACTTTGGCTTTGGTTTGAGTTTATAGGTGCTGTTGAATTCTAAGATTTGGAACTGCATGTTTGTGTTGCATGTTTGTGTTGACACGTGTTTTGTGTTTTTCCTGAGACTTATGTTCTCTCCATAGTCCTTGAACCCAGTGGGCTCTGCAATGTGAAACTTACAAAATCTTCACGGGAACGTGCGAAGAACCTGCGAAGGACGACACAGTCAGAAATGAACCACTCAGACTCAGAAAAAACAAAAGAAATCTCTCAGAAGAAACACTCGAAGAACTGTCACACAAAAGATCTCTCAAAAGAAACACTCCAATGATTGCGAAAAAGGAAACCTCTCAGGAAAGGAACACTCTGATAAAGAAGCAACAATGTCTCAGAAGAAACTCTCCAATAATGCGAAAATAAATCTCTCAGAAAAAAACTCTAGAACCTGAAGAACTCTCAGAAGAAATGCTCCAATAAACGTGTAAAAAATCATCCAGAACACTTCATCAAACATTCGACAAATCCAAGAAACACTCCAATCAAGGTGAAGCAAAAGAAATCTCCCGCAAGATACCCCCAATCGATGTGACGAACAACTCAAAAGAACAGCAACGCAACACTCAGCGCTGAACAGGTTTTGCACACTCTGAACGCCTGCTTTCAAAAACGTCTCAACCCTTTAGGCTTCTGAAAGGTGGCTAGCTCTCAGATTACTTCTTCGGCTTCCTTTGCTTCTTGGCACGCTGCTTTGGGCGGCTTTTGGCTTCAGCTGTAGCAGCGCTAGCAGGGCCGCCTGAAGATCCAGCAGCATTGGAATCTGGCATTTCATCAGATCCTGCAGCTTCTGCAGTGTCCTCAAGCGCAGGTTGCTGCTCCCCAGGCCCTTGCACTTTTCCTTTTCCTTTTCCTTCTCCTTTGGCAGCTCGCTCTGCCTCCTTCCTTGCCAGCAACTGGGCAATGGCCTGCCCAAACATCAAAGCTTCTGGGCTCACGAAGTGCCCAGGAGCAGGTCCAGCATCGACGAGCTGGCCATTGATGAAGCTGAAAGCACGGCCGCCCATTGGTTGCTGCTCCTCAGACTCAGAAATCTCCATGTCAGATCCATCGCTGCTCATGGTGGAAAAGTGTGAAAAAACGAGTGGGCGCGAGTCGAGCTGAAGGTTGAGCTCAACATAAGCAAAGGCGGAAGAGTCTGGAAGAATCTGAAACTCAAAGTTTGGAAGAAGGTGAGACTCAAAGATTAAACTCAAAGATTGAAATTGAAAGTGTTGAAACTAGAAGGAAAGTGTGGAAAGTGCGGCGCAGGAAATGTTTTCATGGTGTTGCTTTGTTCTCGGCCAATGCACACTCTCAAAAATGATCAAGCCAGCCAGCCAGCGTGACTTTATGTCATGGCAGCAAGACCCCGAATCATCAACCAGCTGTGGAAGAAAGAAGTTGACGCACTGTTGGCAAATGGCCAGAACTCGACAGCTTCACCTCTTCCAACTGCACCTGCAATTTCAGGATGTCTTCAAACTTGGCGCGCATGGCGTTCTTCAGAACCATTGTACCGGCTGAAGTGGAAGTGCAAGAGGTAATGGCCTTGCGGCCGGTTTCTTTCACCTTGCCAAGCCATTGGAGCGCTTCATCCACCTTGCCCATCACACTCTCATTCAGCTTTTGCTGAGAAGGAGCAACAGGGGCCGCCGATGCGGTCTGCCCAACATCGCAGATTGCCAAGGTCAAAGCCTGGCCTGAGAGTAAAATAAAACAGAACTTTGGCAACCCTCAGTAGCATCTCTCAAACAGATAAACAGGACAATGTAGCTCCAAAATTCTATCAGAACTATAGCAATATATATATATAAACAACCCTCACTGCAACAAAGAACAACTCTCAAACATAAAACCATATGAAAACATACTCTCAGAAAGGAATGATCCACCTGTTCCCGCTCCTGGTGTAGCAGGAACCTGCGCGAGCATGTCCGTGGCAAAGGATGGCAAGCCAAGGCCACTGCTGCTACTACCATTGCCACTGACATCTCCAAGTTGGAACTGGGGCTGGAAGTTGGCCGCAAAGCTCCCGAAAGTTGTGAACTGGTCAACAGTGATCCCCTGTTTGCTCTCAGCTTTCGCTTCCTCATCTACTCCTGTTTGGCGATTGATTTCCAGCTCTTCCCAGAAGTAGAACTGCTTGCCCTTCTCAGTGCGCACCCGGACATCACCACACTGAATGGCCTTCTCCAAGGCTGCCTCCGAACCCAGGCGCGCCAACATGAGGGAGCGGGGCACTCCCTTTGCGCGCTCATTGCCCACAACAGAAGTGTGGAGCCTCATGAGCGACTTAGCCACCGGATTCTCTTCGATGATCTCCCACTTTCCATCTTTCTTCGTTACGCTGGCATTCACCAGCTTGGTCTTTTCCTCGCGGCTCAACTCTTTGCTCTTGAACATATCCTGAATATGCATTGGCATGCGGGACAAGTTCTTGTTGAAGAACCAGCTCTTGTTCGGATCACGCGTGACCTTTACCACGCCGCTTTCACCCTTGAGCTCTTCCTCGTTCTCTTGAGTCTCCTCTTCGTCATCGTCCTCTTCATCTCCTGAGGACAGCTGCAGGGCTTTTGCCTTCTGCTCATCGCGGTCCTTTGCTTTGCCCTTTGTTGTTTTCTCCTTGTCCTTGTCCTTATTCTTGTCCTTTCCCTTCGAAGATTCCTTTGGCCCTGTCTTGGGCTTTGGAGATCCCTTTACCTTTGCCTTGCCCTTCGCCTTCGCCCCAGTGGTTTTCTCATCTGGCTCAGAAGCATCAGGCACCTTAGGTTCCTCTCCTTCCTTCTTGACCTCAGGTTCATCTCCTTCCTTCTTGACCTCAGGTTCTGCCTCTTCCTTATCGGCTTTAACTTTCCGAGCCTTTGGCTTTGGGCCTAGTGCTTTCGCAGCGGGGCGCTTCATGGGCAGCTTCAAGGCTTTCGTTTCTGGTTTTTTGAAAGCCGGCAGCTCTTCCTCCTCCTCCTCCTCCTCTGCTTTTGTCTCAGCATCTTCTTTGGTCTCAGGAGCCTCCAGGGCTGCTTCTGCTTCTGCCTCCGCGGCAGCCAATGCCGGTGCATCAGGATCCGCGTCCGCCATATCAAAGCCAGGCTTTGGAAATCCAAGTTAGGTCACTCACTCACTCTCTTTGGAAAAACTGAGCCGCAACAGTTGAAGAATGGAAGAATGTTGAATAATCAAAGCGAATTGCAACCCATTAAAACAACCATAGAAAACATCAGAAAGGAAACACATCTCTCGACTCCACTCTGGAAGGAAACAGAAAAAGGAAAACGTCTCTCAGAAGGAAGACATCCCTCAGAAAAAGAAACATCCCTCAGACTTTCAGAATGAACACCAGTAAAACTCTCAGAAAGGAACACATCTCTCAGGAAAATCATCTCTCAGAAAGATACACAGTGAAAGGAAAACCCGCTAGAACATGTTTTTTATCCATCAATATATCCAAAAGCGGTTCAACCAAACCGTCCCGTCCAGACCTAAATTTATATCAGGTCTCACTTCAACAAGTAGATCACCATGGCACGCTGTAGCCAATGCCACTGACTATGTAGCCCTGGGTGCTTCAACAAAAAGCTTGCCGCTTGCTCCATTTCCTTGCGCATCAAGGACACGCATGGATGCACCGGATCCTCAAGCTCCTCCCAGCCATCAACAGGAGAAGGTGCCCTTTCAAACTTCCATGGGATATCCTGCTCACCATTTTGGATCATCACCCGCACCATTGCTAGGGATAGAGACATTGAGGAAAGAGCTTCACGCAGCACCTGTGGCTGATCTGCAGCCAGGAAATACTGCACGCAGTTCCTCAAATTTTCACACCCATCTTCTAGCTGCCTTCCATCCGCCATGGTGCAATTCATGATTGCTTTCATCTCTCGAGCATGAACTTTGCAATGCTCTGACATAGTGGCTACAACAGAACAAACTCACGCTTGGTCCAAAACAAACTCATGTCGAAAGAAATGGACAGAATTCTCCTGAGACAATCCTCTCTCTCACTCTCAAAAATTGACCTCTCTCTCTCTCTCAAAAAGACACAGAAAAAACAAAAAAATCAGAAAAGCACACACTTGACAGTTTGGAAATAGACTATTGATATCCTATTACCTAAACATCATAACAGACTAGGAAATAGACTATTTAGTCTAATATAAACTATTATCTTATCATCATACTTTTAGTCTATAAATAGACTATGCGGAGCCTTAGGGCGCGCACTCGACACGCACGATCTCCGCAGAGGGTTGCGCGCACACCGGACGAATCGCGCTCTCGCCTGCATTTCGCGCACTCGACACGCATGATCTCCGCAGAGGTTTGCGCGCGCACCGGGCAAATCGCACTCTCGCCTGCATTTCGCGCACTCGACACGCACGATCTCCGCAGAGGGTTGCATTTTCGGTTGACGCTGTTCGTCCCACCCTCCGCCTTCAAGAGAGAATTTATAAAGTGGGGAAATGTGTTTCATTAGGACATCTCCCGTGCTAGTCACTCATTGCGTGAGTTCACTCATCACACTTGCATACTCATTGCATGCTTGCATACTCCTTGCATGCTTGCATGCTCATCATTAGACTTGCATACTTTGACACTGGCATACTTCGCACTTGGACGCTTTCGCTCTTCCAGTGTGTGTGTGTGTGTAAGTGTAAGTGTCGAAGTGTAAGTGGCGAAGTGTCAGTGTTCAAAGGATTTTCCGGAAGAACCCTTCGCAATGCTTTCGGGAAAAATCAATTGAACAATATCATGCATTGACTGTACCAGAAGCTGCCTCCAAGCGGACAAAATAAGAATGCGACTTTCATATTCAGGTGTAATCTCCGGAGTGCCAATTATAAAGATGTTCGACATGTATATGCTATATAAATACACAATTGTGTATGTGAAGATTCGCGTTTTGTGAATTACATAATTAACACACCTTAACCAAATGAGCAAAGACCGACTCCTTCGAAACCCCTTATACTATCCAGTTGCAAGTGCGACCTGGCTGGGCTGCAGCCTACAGCATACCCATCATGCAGGGTCAGAAACCACTTCCTTTGGGCAGTTTCTGAGTTGTTCTTCGGCATACCATAGCAGCTACTACATCATGTTGCCAGTGCTCCGTGGGGGAGCTAAGTGCTCGTCAAAACTCTCAGAATCCAAATGACACTGGTCAGCCCAAAGCACAGAAGGAGGGAAAGGGACCAAAGCACTTGGTCCCCTGATTGCGTACTTGGGGCCTCTACCCGCCGAATCGCCTTGAACCATCTGAAACTAACGGGGTCGTATTGTATGCGCAATATGTGTGTGTGTATATATATACCTGAGAAAGGAGAGGACGAAAGCCAGCGAGAGACCAATATGGTAGTGCAAGACTAGGGGGAAACAATAGCGGAACACTTATTGTTGAATGCCTGCAGCTTTCGTGGAGCTTGTATCAACGTGGAGTAGATCAAGATCGGAGCACAGCATGAAGTGTTGAATGTTTTAGGCTTTCTCGATTTTCCTGGCGCGGTGTTCTCTGGAGCGTCCCTGCTTGGTGGTCTACTTGAGAATCCATGTAAAAATAAACGTCAGTGAAGACCAGGAGAAGGATGCCCGAAAGGTGGTTTTGGTTGTTTTGAAATGTGTTTCGGGCATCGTGCATCAATGCAAAGCCCTATAAAAGAGCAGGGCTGGGAGAAAAAAGAGGAGAGCACTCATTCTTGAATGGTTGTAGTTTTCGTGGAGCTGGTATCACTGCGACGTAGATGAAGATCGGAGCGCAGCATGAAGTGTTGAATGTTTTTAGTATTCTTGATTTGCTTGGCGGGGCGCCTTCTGGAGCGTCCCTTGTTGGTGTTCTATTTGAGAATCCGTGCAAAAATAAACGCCAGTGAACACCAGGAGAATGATGCCCGAAATGGTTCTTGTTGTTGTGTTGAAATGTGTTTCGGGTATCGTGCATCAATGCGAAGCCCTATAGAGAGTAGGGCTGGGAGGAAAAATAGCGGAGCACCTATAGTTGAAAGCTTGTAGTTTCGTGGAGCTGGTATCACTGCGACTGAGATCAAGATCGGAGCACAGCATGAAGTGTTGAACGCTTGCAGCTTTCTTGCTTCTCCTCTTGCGGCGCTCTTATCCCCCAGCCTGTACCTCGCCCAACTGGACATGCTCACATCGTTCGCTCCCAACGTGGAGTAGATCAAGATCGGAGCACAACATGAAGCGTTGAATGTTTTAGGCTTTCTCGATTTTCCTGGCGCGGTGCTCTCTGGAGCGCCCCTGTTCGGTGGTCTACTTGCGATTCCGTGTAAAATATACGGAGAGGGCCGTTATCGTAACTGCAGTTAAGCGTGAATTCACACGTGATGTTAAACAGAAGTTAGTTGAAGTTACGGTGGAGGCGTTTAAGTTCAGCATATCTTACTCCGTCGAATCTTGCGTTCGATTGATTTCAACGTTTCAGATGTCAGAAAACAGCGGAAAAACTCACATCTTTTTCACTAATGCAGGCAAAGCCCATGTCCGCGACCAGCTACGTTTGAGCGCTGGCATAGGGCGCAAGTCGCGGGCGCGGGGGTCCCCTGCGTCTCCTGCGTGGACATTGGCGCGACAGCGACCGTCTTCTACAAATATACCCGTCAGAGCCGAGAGAGCTGCAACAAAAAAGATCAAAAAAAACAAGAAAAACTTTCAAAACGCCGCGGACAACTGGCGGACGCCGCCCAATACTTAGCTAGCTTTACGGTCAAATCTCGCGGACTCCGGGCGGACTTCTGGCGGACAACGGCGGGACCTAGAAAACCAACCTTCTTTGTCGCGATCTCCGAGCGCGCGCGGACGCACTTTCCTTTCGCCAAATCTGGTGTATATATGTCGTTTCAGAAGGTGAAAACTATGCTGTTGTCGCTCTGTAGCTGTGCGCGTAGGTGTACGTTCTGAGCCAAAAATCTCACTGCAGCATGTGTCATTTGCAAGAAAATTTAGTTATTTAAAAAAACGTTGTTTTTTTCGGAGCATAACTTCAACATAAGTTCACCTAACTTCCGTGTAACTATGGCGAGCTTGCTAAGTGGAAGTTACGTTGAAGTCATCCGCATAGCGTGGAAGTTGCGGCGAACGTATACGTTCAGCAACTTAAGTTAAACTTCAGTTTAACTTAAGTTATAACTTATAACGGCCCTCTCCGTACGTCAGTGAAGACCAGGAGAAGGATGCCCTAAAGGTGGCTTTGGTTGTTTTGAAATGTGTTTCGGGCATCGTGCATCAATGCGAAGCCCTGTAAAGAGCAGGGCTGGGAGAAAAAAGAGGAGAGCACTCATTCTTGAGTGGTTGTAGTTTTCGTGGAGCTGGTATCACTGCGACGTAGATGAAGATCGGAGCACAGCATGAAGGGTTGAATGTTTTTAGATGTTTTTAGTCTTTTAGTATTCTTGATTTGCTTGGCGCGGCGCCTCCTGGAGCGTCCCTTGTTGGCGTTCTATTTGAGAATCCGTGCAAAATACTCTCCCTAAATAACGGAGCACCTCATGCTACAGACATGCTCGCTAACCTGACCCACTTACACCGGAGACTTCCTAAGGATTAGATTATGTGGCAATTTTTGTAGGACAAAACCATCTTGGCTAACATGGCACAAGTGTGCACTGTGAACCTGGCTGATCTGAACCTAATATTTCCTAGAAATGCTGGGATTTTGAGGCACCACGTGGTTTGCATCAAGGTGCTTTGTTAGGGTTGTTGATGGTTTGATATGACTTTGCACAGGAAGCTAACTTGGCACGCAATACGACCTTTCATTCTTTTTCTCCGTTCCCCTCACGGATGGTGCCGCCTTTGCACGTCCATTGAAGCCAACAACACAGAGTGCCAAGTTAGAAGACAGTAAAAAAGTAAAACAATAATATCAGTCGTTCCTTGGAGAGCAAGAATATTTGCACTTGTGGTAAACCGTTGACTGCATCGTATTAACTGACATCCAATTAGATTTCCTCCAGTTCATCAAAGAGACACTTGACGGCTCTTTTTCCATTGTCTGCAGAGCCCCTAGCTCTGCCTCTTTTTGCTCCTGTCTTGCGTTGGATCCATCATGGTCACTGCGTTCTCTAACGCCCACCTAACACAGCAAACCCTTGGCACCTTCTCACAAAGTCTCAGTAAGAAAGCCAGAGCTCCTGAACCGGTTGCTCCTCTGCCATCCTCCGCTTAGCAGGCGTGGCTGCCATGGCTACCGAACACACCAAACCAGTTTGAGCTGTCAAGTCTTGCCTGGCCAAACATATTTTCGACTCCAGGCTCATTTTCCAGAGCAGTGTGCGAAGTCTCGCATCATTCTGTGTAAAAGGAATCTGAAGCGGCTCTATGTCGGTTGCATGAGTCGCTGTGCGAAACATGCCACTCTGACGATCCCATCGTCAGCTTTGCAACTTCAAAGTTTCATCTACATCTGACGATCTCATCGTCAGCTTTCAAACTTCAAAGTTTCATGCTTTCCAACTTCTAAGATTCACCCACATCCCTTACCCATAGGGCTGTATGGCTCACGGGTGGGAGTGGTTTGGGTGTTGTAAAAAAGTCAGCATCAAATGTGTCGAGAACTGGTGTGAGTACACTTGTGCTTGCTCAGTGACAAATTTCTTGCCACTGATTCCTGACAACTGCAAATGCGCTTTGCCGGTGCGTTGGCATTTTCCATGCCCTTGGCATCGTTGAAAAATCGGCGCAGCTACATTCCAAAAAAGGATCTTTCTGGGTTTCTTCCAAGCTGTTCCGTACATGCGCATGTCAGCTGTACACAAGTGAACTCTCGAGTCCTGTAGCAAACGTTGTATTTCTGGAGTGTCCCAAAGTATGGAGTTGGCAGGGTTTTCCAAATATCCAGCAACATTAATTCTCACTGCGAATCACTCTAAGTCTAAACATCACATTGGCCTTGCGAATTTTTTAGAAAATCTACGCCATTCAGCTCAGGCAGTCCCATGACAAACTGGCCAGGTTTACGCAACGGCTTCGGCAGCTTTGACCACCAAGGAGCGCAGTGCGCTCTGCTCCAAGTGTTGCATGGGAGGTCTATGCCTATGCCCACGACCGCAAAATGGCGCAAGTTCTTTTCAATCATGTTCCGGGCAGAATGCTTGCTCAGATCATTGCTGGGAGAATCACTCAGGTCAAAAACCGCACTGGTGCCACCAAAATGCTTCCAGACTTGCCAACTCCACCAAAAAGGGACAAAAATGCTAAATCTTGAAATGGTCGCCCAGCCTCCGTTGAAGCTGAGCTGGCACTGGGAAGGAGCCACCTCGGAACCATTTTGGAAAGTCTCTCCGAATCATCTCTCCAAAGGGCTGCAGATTGAAACTCCAGCGCTTGGCCTCCTCTCCTTCTTTGTTCATCCTCCTTCTTGCCCATTCCACGAGCAGGTCTCCTAGCTGCGGCATCCTCACATCGTCCATTACCAACACTTCGTCGAAGATGCCTGTCTTGCTGCTGACTCCTCGCTCGAAGGGGCTGAGGACGATGACATGGTGGTTGAACTGGCTGTTCTTGGGCGCCACATCCACTGCCATCACCCTGAGCATCTCGCCCGGGCGGGCGTAGGTTGAGTAGGTGACCTCGTTGTAAAGAGCCATCTCGTGCCAGCCTTGACTCATCATCAATCCGCTGATGCAGGTTTTTGCAAACTCCACCATCGGCATTCGCGTCTGCGTCGGAGCCAGCCGCCTCCATCCCTTCATTGCCTTCTTGAAGTGCGGAAGCCTTAGTTCCCCCGCCCTTGCTGCCTCGGGTCTGAAGAACTCCAGAGCCTCAAAGCTTGGCCTGCACTGCTGCTTTCGCCATTGAGAAACATGTGGTCTGCGTATTCGCACAGAGCTGTGTCCAGTTCCTCTTCTGTGTCGACTGGGATGTGGTTGATGACCACGAAGTCGTAAAACTCGTCTAGCCTCCTCGAGTAATCTTTTCTGGTCGGCTCCTTCACACTGTTCATTTCCAACAAGCTCATCTCTCCTCTGCTGGCTCTCAGCTTCTTGCCATACTTTCTCTGTCTTTGCCTCGCTCTCTCTATTTTGGACTTTGATGCCTTGAGCATCATTCGCAAACCCTTTTCTAAAGGGGCCTTGCCTTCTCTCTGCTCCTCAAAACAGACCTCGACCGGCTGCGCTCCCTCCAGGCCTTGTCCGCCCGCGCCGGGCTCGTCAACCTGTCGTTGGCCTTCTTCACTTCGGCACGGCTGAAAACTTCTACCTTTCGTTTCGCACCCTTTCCGCTCTCTGCTGCTATTGGCCGCTGCCCTCTCTTCTTCCCAGCAACGACTGTCTTTGTCAGCAACATTCCTCTCAGAGGGGACCCACCTAACGCTGCACCTGATCCCTGCAGCCAGAGAGTAGGCGGCGCAGCGACGAATGATGCGCAACAACGAATAGTTGCGACACCTTCCCTTCTGAATTGCCAACACTGTGCCCATGTTGTCATTGAAAATCACAAGCCTATGACCGTGCCTATACCTATCTTTGCAAGCATGTCGAAGCGCCTCCAAAATCCTCCTAGCCTCAATGAGATGTATCGGCTCTTTCTAGAGTATGGGTGCGTTCCACAGTAGATGCCATCTATCTTGTTGCAAAAAATATGGGGGCGCGTCCGGAAAATTCACATCGACCTCAAGGTCTCCAAACACTTCACCATCCACTAGGGGGAGGACAGTGGAGACATCTTCAAAAACCATACTTGAGTCCAAAGCCACTTCCCTCGGCGCCACCTGCGCTCCGTCCTCACGTCTGAAGCGCCAGCGCTCATCCCAGCGCCCGATGGAGGAGGCTTCCATAGAAGACAGCTGAGTCTCCAGCACCGCAGAACCTGAAAGGCTCGCGTCAGTGCACATGACTCGGGTGTCCCAAGGGGATTTGATGTCGCCTGTTGCCAGGGGCATGAGGTTTCGAAACAAGCTCAGCTCCTTTGCAACGCTAGGCCACAACCTCGTCCTTGCGCTGTAGCATTCATCTATAAACACATAGGCGTGTCGAAGGATGCCCATGAGCCCCCTGTGCAACAAAGCCCGAACAGTCATATGACCTATGATCACTTGCAATTGCTCACCAGAAATGACTGGTCTGGTTGTCAAAGCCCATAGTGCTCTGTCAAGTCGCCAGTCCCTTGCCGGCGTGGGTCCAACACGCCCACCCAAACCATCTATGCGTACTCCCAACGATTCCGCCAGGGTTGCACTTTCTTGGATGTCGTGTGTGTCAAGGCCGTGGCTATGCAAAGCATCCATCATGACTTTCTGCGCCTCATGAACCCTAGGCCCGCTAAAACCCAGATGGTTGTTGTTATCCGCATAAATCAACATGGCACGTTCCACGTGCCCAGGTCCAGCCCCGATCCGTGGTGCTGGATGTCTGTCGCGAAGGTGTCCAGCTTCTGGCAAGCTCCTTCGCGCCAGCTCGGCATGTGCTTGATGCGCTAAATGAAACCCATAGGGAGAACTGCCATCATTGGCAAAAAGGGACCCACAGAACGTTCTTATTCTTGAAGTCCAGGAGGTAGATAACCCAGAACCCCTTTTAGCTTTTGCAGGTCGACTGCAGGAAGGCAAAAGAACTCACTAAGATCTCTGCTGATGGCCAAGCGGTAGAAAAAATCTTTCACGTCCTCTTGTGCCAAAAAATATCTTTCTGCTCTTGAACCTCCAACCTAGACCACGCTTCAACCGATCCCAGAACCGTAGTTGGGGGACTTCGAAACAAGCGGTTCGCTCTTCTTGCATCTATCACTAACCTCTGCTTGTTGTTCTTCTTGTTTATACCATGAACGCTCCAATCTGAACCCGGGGGGTGGCGGTGTAGTCCAACAACCTGCTCAGCTCCAGATTCGCTATAAACTTGTGGTACACGTCACTGTTGAAGCGAAGTTGTGGATCTAAATAACAGTCGTTGAAAAAAAAACTTTTTCTTGTTCCCAACCATCTCTTCTGGACTCAGCAGCATTTCGGTCTCGAAGTTTTCCAGCTGCCACTTCTCCCTCGGTGGGAGAATTGTTCTGAGGTCAACGGGTTTTCCCTGGCCTCTTGGTAGCGACAACTTCTCTGGGACATAGGAAGGCAAACTCCCAGCCCCCAATGACTGGTCCACAGGAGCAGGCCTCTGTTATTGGGCCCGGTGGACCCTCCTCAAAACTGCCTCCTGAACCTGGCTGAGGGGATTCGTCGGCCATCTCTGCTCATCCTCAAAACCTGCCATCACGTCGAGGGCTCTGACTGTTCCGATCTCTCTTTCGAGAAGCACCCTCCTCCGATGAACCCTCTGCCTTGACCTCCTCGAACTAAGACTCGTCTCACTTCCCGGGAAGCCCCGGTCCATGGGCAACGGCATGGGAAAAATGTCACCGTGATGCCCGAGAGGCTCTTTGGAAAATTGCTTGGCGCCCAAAAAAGTCTCAGGCCCTTGCCCCGGCCCATGGGCACGGGCCCGACTGTACGTAGGGGTTTCCAGGGCCCCTCTTGACTCCTTGTCTTTGTCACCCTTGCCATCGCCCTTCTTGTGGGCGGCCTTCCTTTCTTCGGCAGCAAGTCGACTCTGCTTCATGATCTCTGCTTTGGCCGCCTGCCGCTTTGCTGTAAATTGCAGCAGGGCCGGGTCTACCAACGATCCATCTGCAGTGTCTTTGATGCCCATGAAGTCCTCTGCTCCCTCATAACTGGGGGTGTCCGGTCTTCCGGAGTGAGCGTGCTCGATGAGGGCACGCCTGCGGTTCAGCGCCTCGGCGGGCGCAAGCCCTGGCAAATTGAGCTGGTCGTAGACCATCATCAAATGCAACGCCCTGCAAATTGAGCTGCGCTCATAAACAGACCGGTCAGACGCTCAAACTCCTGACTTCTTGACCCATGCCTCGTGGTGTATCACGAAGTCTTGTCCTGTGCGACGCAGCTGCTTCACGTCTCTGAACATGGTCCGTGGCCCCTGCAGGGGATAATCACCGTACTTGATCTCATCATATTCGGGCACCGCTTCCTGCAGGGTGCGATACCGCTCCTCAGCGGCGTCGAACACCAGCGCTAGGATCCTCACATCTCTGTCGGACTCCTCTGCTTTTGACCTTCCTTCGAAGAGCTTCTTCATGTCGGCCACCTGCTTCAGTGGAACCTTGCGTGAAAGAAACTCCTCACCTCCTCTTGAGAAGAGCGTGAAGGACTTGCCATTGACCACATTCTCATGAGCATCCTCAGGGGGCTCGCACTCTGCACCAAGGTCTCCGCTGCCGGAGCGATAGATGACCAACCACACACTCTCCTCTGTCTCCTCCTCAGCTTCTCCTCCTGAAGCCTCAGCCATCCTCTGCCTAAGGGCGGAGACTTTCCTCTCCCCGTCTACCTTGCCTTCGACCCTCCTCCTCTGCAGCCTTGCCTCCGCAGCCCGCTCTTGGATGAGGATCAAGCGCTTCCATTCTTCCCGGCTGAACTCACCTTTGTCGGAATGACGGGGAAGGTAGGTGTCATCCTCCCTCACTCCTCTTGGCAGCCTCCTCTCCTCGGTGGCCCTGACCTCTGTGTAGGTCCCGCCAACCTCTAACACCGTGGTCTCGACATCTCTGTCAGGCGACATCAGAATCCCTCTCCAGTGAAGAAGATCGGGGTCCCGATGAAATCTTACGAGCACGCATTCTCGCGGCAGCCAGTGCTTGTCGGCTAGGGACATCCCTTTCTGAGACGTCTATTTTCTTCTTCGAACGTGGGGGGTCCAAAACAAAACTATTTGGCTCGCCTCTAACCAAAGCGTTTCTGTGACTTTTTTCCGGCACAAAAGGCACGAACAAGACCAAGCAGCAACCAGCGATCAGGCCCACGAAAAAGCTAATCAGCAAACTCACCAGGCTTTCACCCGCAAACTGCCCCAAAGCCTTCTCACACACGACGCTCTTGCTCGCCAAGTCCCGACAATGCTCCAGCTCTTGCTCCAGCCAGCTCTTCTGCTTGCCGCACGACCAGGTCTCACCACCGTCCGAACCGCGCGTCCGCTGAAGGTCCACCACCCAAGAAACACCCAGCTTAGAAAGGTCAACAGCTAAGCCTCTAGCCAGTTCGCCCCACTGCACCATCAAAAGGGAATATCTACACAGCTTGTTACTTGAGGAGAAAAAATTGAAAGCGGAATTCCATGAACCCTCCGTCAAAACAGCCTTTGGCTTATATCACATCTCATCCCAGGAACACCCTGGGCAACAAAAACCCAGAAAACGATGCAGCGCGACATCAAAAAAGATGAAGCACCTGGGTGCTTCATTTCCGTTTGCATCCCGGCCACTCGCTCATTTTCTCCCTAACCTGGCACCTGTCAGTGTGCCTTGCAACAATCACTAACCTGTAATAAAAATAAAGTAAAACCTCACAGGTGCCTGGTAAGTTTTACAGAGTGTAAACGTCAGTGAACACCAGGAGAATGATGCCCGAAATGGTTCTTGTTCTTGTGTTGAAATGTGTCGTGCATCACTGCGAAGCCCTATAGAGAGCAGGGCTGGGAGGAAAAAATAGCAGAGCAGCAGAGCACCTATAGTTGAAAGCTTTAGTTTCGTGGAGCCGGTGTCACTGCGACTGAGATCAAGATCGGAGCACAGCATGAAGTGTTGAACGCCTACAGCTTTCTTGCTTCTCCTCTTGCGGCGCTCGAAAAACCCAAGCCTCTACCTCGCCCAACTGGACATGCTCACATCGTTCGCTCCCAGAGCGTTCACTCTTTGTTGCTTGGTCCTTCTTGGTATGATCAGAGCTACACTGTCCCTATGCCCTGCTCAGGACTTCCAGACCCCTTCATGATGCTAATGATGCACTACTCGGCGTCCATTGCATCACTCGCATCACCAGACCCCATTTTCACTGCTTTTCTGACCCTCGCTTTGGAGCAAGCTCGGGGTTCACCCTCTCAAAATCTCAAAAGGTGCCTTTTTCGCGCCCTCCCACCCCCACACCCCCTTAACTCACTTCGTTCGCTTTAAGAGCTCAAGCCTAGCCTATCGGCTGGCTTTCGTAATAACATGTAATAACTATGTATTTTACATACACATACACATTTTCAAGTGAAGTATGGACAACAACATAGTTTATTCGTTTACTCCCACTATGTCGGAGGCATGTATGTATGGGGTATGGGTATGTAGAAGTTTTCCCAAAGAGGTAGCTCATCAGTAGAAACATCTGGGTGCCCAAAGGCACTGTGGTTGTGCACTATCTATGGAGGTAATGCTGTGGTCTGGAAGCTGGCAGAATTAAACTCACACTCCTCTCTCTGTCTCTGGATCGCGTTGTAGACATTTGGTCAACCAATAAACCAATACTCCATTCTCTGTTGCTCCTTTTTGCGCAAAATGTTGCCAGTGTTTTGTTCACAGCTTGCCCCGAGGCATGCTGCGCTCATGTGAACCCTTGAAAGGTTGAGGCTTCTCTCGCCAAGGCTCGTAACCGAGCATGAACAGCACATTGGAAGATCAATCAAACGACATGACGCGTGTGATCAAGGCCATAGCCCATTGTCCCAAAATAGTGCATGCCCTGCTAGGAAACTCTGCCCCATGGCTCTGCCAATATCCGAACTTTCACTGTCCTTGTTCTAAGCAAATGATTTCCTTGCCAATCCAAGCCTGTCAACACCCGGTGGAAATTCTCCAGAAAGCCTGCGCTTTAAACACTTGACATTAGTCCTGCCACCGTCTGCTTGCACCTGAGTTGCCCATCTACTCTGATCTCCTCGATATTAACAATAAGTCAACTGCTGGTCCAGTAATTTGGTTCTCAGTAGGTCTATTCTTCTCATGCTTTTGGTGCTCTCGTGAGGTTCCGACGGCATTCGGCAAAGGACAAATGCAAACGAACATCTCCAAAACTTAGTTTGGTAAAGAGTTAGGCCGAACTTTGAGAGTAGCGGCACGGCGGTAGCTCCCGTGGTTTTCCAAACACACGGGAAAGTAAAGACCGCAAACACAAACTGTACCATTTCTGTGTAAAGATTTCTGTTTCAGCTCGTTGGTTGGCGCCAAGGTCGCCGGCTGTTGGCAGCTGTGGCCAAGTTTGATCCCCTTGGATCTGCAAGACCGCAGGAAAACCGTCCATGCCTCGACCGTCCATGCACTTTCCACCAAAAAAATGTTGGTTGCAAATTCGTTATATACGTCTAGGACCTAGGATCTGTTTGGATGCAAATCGAGTATGATGCAGCAGTCAAGGCTATGAGACACCATGTCTGAACAGATGCCAAAGCTTGAAAAACTCAATTTAAGCCAGCAGGATGACCGAGAAACATATGCATAAAGGGTGTGTTTATACTAGTCCAGGTAAAATAAGCGTACATGTCTGTTCTGCGTTGCTCAATCAATTCATTGGTTCAACAAGGAGCTTTTCCTACCCTCACACAAATTTAACTTGCAAAGTACTTGCAAGGCTGTCTGGCCACGCCGCTGGGAAGTTCAAGAATTATTCATCACTCAATCATGCCCTCCGCTTCTCCGAAGCGATAGACTTCTCAGGAACTTCTGGCCAAGCCTACCATCTCAAGGGCTGACGATCTCACGTGACGCCAACCTGTTCCCCCATACTCTTCCAACATCGGATTGTAGCCCAGCAGTGCAATGTGTTCAACGAATGCTCAGATGGAGGCACCCAACCATGCCCTTGCTCTAAAAATGCAAAGGACCAAAGAGTTCACGGCCAATGAAGTAGAACATCCTGTGTAAAAGACATGAACAGAACTTATCAGAACTCCACATCTTCTCTTTGAACCAGATTGAACCACTAGTTCCTTATGAAACCTCGAGTCATGTTCATGTCAGTGTGGAGAAACGGACTTGACTTAATTCCGTGCAAAGCTTTACATCCCTTGAAAGCTTAAAAGTAAAGCAGCAAAGCTTCAATCAACAAAAAGACAGCAAGAAAATGCTCACAGAGCGAGAATCACAGGCCGACAAGCAAGGCTTGGTGGCCTCGTAGCTCACAAATTGTGCAGGTTCATGATGACGATTCATGAGCAGGAACTGTTGCTGTCAACCAAAAACCGTGATCAAAGCACACATTTAAGACAAAAGGTGTTGTGATGGCCATCGATCACCCCCGACCGCAGAGCCTTGTCTTGCAGCTTGCAAGCTGCTCTGTGGAGTTCAGCAAGGTTGCAGCTGTCCTGCCACTTCTGCAAGAACCGTGGGAATCTTCCAAGATCTTCCCAATATTAATTCAGTGAAATGACCACACTCCTATACCAAGCATGTCTAACTTGGAATGCTCGCCCACCCGTGATATCCTGTGATCCTTTGGAGTCTTTGACGGGTTTCGACCGGTGCCCTACCAGGAGCTGCGTTTTGAAGCTGCGTACAGCATGTCTTGAAGTCCTGGGCATGTCCTCACGTAGTTTGTGGTTCTCGACCTCAATTATGATCGGTTCTTCAAGCGAACATTGATGTCATACTTTCCTAAAATTCAAATCAAAAAAGTTGGAGGCCATCGCTAGTAGGTTGGAGGCCACTGCTATTAGGTTCCTTTGCTATATAAACACATTTGCCCATATCTGCTTTCCGTGGGCTTAGGATTTCTTGAAGCACGATTCGCAATGACCAGGCTTCCGGCATTGCCCTCCAAGAAAGACAAAGCATCCATGAACATATGCATCCTCAGCACAAGATAACCCTCTTTTCGGCGTGCCAAGAGCATCGTGAGCTGGTGACAGTTCAATGGATCTACAACCAGAAAGCACAAATTGCAAGGCATACTTGGTAAGAATTCAGAATGATTCAAAGAAAACCTAAGGCACTTGAATCTTAAAAAATATGT